GTTGCCCCTGGGAGGGATTCAGATGTTACAGTGAGGGGCTCAGGGCAGGAGCACAGCAAAACCAGAAACAGGACAGGCCAAGTTTTAGGCACTAGAAAGCAAAAGAAATTAGAGGAAACTGAGAAATCTTGTTCAGCTCAAAGGGGGTGGAGGTTTTTCACTGGCTTTCCTCAGAGAGCCAGCACCTCTGTACCCAGGCAGCAGGGCATGCTCTCTGCTAAAATCTTGTTCCTTCTTGTCTCTTTTGCAGCAAACTCAGTGGGAAAAGTGGTGAAAACTCCATCCCTGCCAGTGTCCCACAGCTGCCTGGATGGAGCCAGGCCTCTCCAGCCTCCAGCTTGCTTGTGTAGGACACCACTGAGCTGTGAATGGGGACAAAATCAGAAGGCAGCTTCCTTGTGTCCCAGCCAGCCTGTGCCCACTGGCATGTTTTTGATGGAAGTAAGGAGAAAGTGGCTGGGTGCAGTCCAGCACCTCCCTTCTCTCCCTTTCTCAGGAAACAGAGTAAAGTACCCCTGAAGTTTGCAGTGCTGCAAGTATGATTGGAAGATCAAAGACAAAGTCTTGTCATACAGTATTCTGGGCTGGCTGGGACAAAGCAAAGTCTAAGTCTTGCAATGGAACAGGAACTTCTTGAGAGCCAGAGCCTGACTGTGGGCAGGTTGGTGGACGGAGGAGCTGGTGATACCTGGGACTCCTGGTCAGGGATACCATGACCTTGTCCTCTCCTCATAGGAGGGCAGCTACATCCAAGTGGGAGAGGGAAGTTCCTCACTTGTCCCCAGTTTAGCCAAAGCCCAGCCATTCAGGCTTCTGATCTGCATGTCTGTGAGACACTTGAGGAAGGGTCGTGGGATCCTGGGGATTTAGAGAAGCTCAAAGGATCCCAGCTGTGTCCAAAGGGTTTCCTTGGCTGCTCACCGGGGCTTGGTGTGCACTGAATAGTGGGGTGCAGCTTTGCTTCCTCAAGGTCCAGCTGGAGGTCATCTGCATCTAGGTCATCTGGGGAGAAAACAACCAGAAATGATGCTCAGAGAAGAACGATCAGGGCCACTGGGGCTAGCTGGGCCAGAAGTCTTTCCCACTGCTTGTCCTCAACACAGACCTTCCCAGGCAGTTCCCAGCCCACAGGTTCAAAGTAGCTGCTGGTGTCCAGTTTGCCCCCTGCAGTCACTGCTGTAGAGGGAGAAGGTCTTGTAAACATTGGTGGGTTGTAATGTGGCCAACCCCTCTGTTTTTAGGTTACTCCCAACATTTGAAGTGTTGGGAGAGCCCCAGATCCCAGAGTTGTGTGACTGCAGATCCCTCCTCCCAGCACGCTTTATTAAAACTAAAGAAATACTCTAGCCTATGTGGTTACAGAAAACAAAGCCTTCAAATGCATCTTCTAAATGGAAGCTTTCTGGGCAGGCCTTGTCCAATGTTAGTTCATCAACAAGGACTTTGGAGCTTTGTTCAAAGAGAGCCGTAGCCTCTACTTGCAGCACAAATTCTTCATTAGCAACCACCACCACCACCAAACAGCTCAGAAGCAAAAAGACAAGAGAACCCAGCATATAGTGCTTTATTTTATGTCCTATGATCTCTTGGGACTGTGGTGCCTTGTTTTTAACCCTGGAGGTTCCCAGTCCTGGATTTGCTTAAAGGCAGACTGATTGCCCATGCCCACAGACTTTGGATCTCTGGGGTTTATGCAACCAGGCTCCACTGCCCTCAGAGCCCAGCCTGCTGGGCCAGCATCTCCATTGCAATGGCAGCTACACCCTGAGCCAGGCTCGGGCTCTCTGAGGGTCAGGCAGAGACTCCCTGGCTGAAGGAGAAGCTGCTGGAAGAGAATGGGGCTGAGACCCCAGCTGTGGTTTTGATGGCCTGTAGGTGTAGGTCATCAACAAGGAGAATGGCATCCTCTTAATCTAATCCAAGACATGCTCTTCTGCTTTGTTCCTTGTTCCTCTTCTCAAACTACCGCTGATTCACAGCACTGGGACACAGTGAGGACAGCTGCTGTCCTGCTGCACCGTCCCCACCTGTGGCACCACCACAGCCTTCTGCTCCCAGTGGAGATCTCAGAGGGTTTTCTGCAGGTGGGAGGGAGGGGAAAGGACATGTTTTGTGCTTGCCACAGCCCGATAGCCAGGGAGCTGGTTCTGTGGGATGAACCTTCCCTTGGATGATACAGACTGATGCTGGTGCCCAGGTGTGCACCTGGCAGCTGAGACACTGGCCTGAAAAGAGAGTTTCAACAGTGCTGATGATATGGCTATCGTAAGTGGGATTTAGTTGCCTAATCAGCTTAGAAATGGTGCCTCTCATGAGGTCTGCTCCCTGCCTGTGTTTGAAAATATGACTGGGATATTTGATTAAAGAATGATGACAAATAACGTGCTATCTTTAGTGCCTCCTGACAAGCATTGTGGCTTTCTTAGCTTCAGTGAGCTTTGGAAAAAAAAAATGCCATTTTTAAAATCTGTCTGTATAAGAGTTGAAATATTACTGCTGCTTTAGAGTCTGGCAAGAAATCACTCACAGTGGGATGGAAAAATATTTCGTCCTTGTATTTTATAGTCTTATAAATCTCCAGTGTCTTTTCCATCCACAGTGCGGAGGCTATGATGTGCAGTCACGATACTTGAATCAATACAGAGACTTGCACTTTCTGTGCCCCCCTGCCACCCAACCCACAGTAATGTTAAACTGTAATCTGCTCCCATTCTTTTTCTCTTCAAAGGGCCAGAATGCACAAAGGCTGGTTTTAAGCATAGATTAAACATTTGCATGAAGTGAAGGAGCAATCTTTTGTTTTGCCTGGACTACCGAGCTAGCTGTGAATTGCAAAGCAATCCTTGGCCAGCACAGCGGCATTCAAAACAGAAAATGTACCTCTCTGCTGGAAATCAGTACCTCTCTCAGCCTGGGAACTGTAGAGAAAAGAAAATGGCTGTTGTGTTCTAGCAAGGCAGACTGCATTACTTTTGAAGTAGCCCTTATTTATTTGAATTTTGCTAAGGCGCCTCCACTTTCTGAGGCCTTATGGAAAAAAACCCACTTTTCCCTTTCCATGGAAAATGGTTCCCAGCTGGCTGTACCAACACTGAAGTGGGAGGAAGAGGAAGAGAATTGCTGGAGAAGGGGTAGAACAAAAAGCCATTGGGCTGGATGCTTCTTCCCCTTTTGTACAGTCTGCCTTAGCCAGGGCAGTCCCCACGTGGGATTTGCAGATAATTGCTCTCTCCTTCAGAGTTAGGGCATGGGTAGCTGCAAGGGGCCTGGGCAGGTGCTTTTTGGGGGACTTGAGTAGCCTTCTTGAGTGCCAGAAGCAGGAAAAGTATAGCTCTAAGGACCCTCCAGGGTTTGCTGGATGGATGCAGAAGTTAATTAGTCAGCTTTACGAGCTAACCCAGTGCTGGACTGGGTAAAGCAGTGTCCTATTGTCAAGGATAACCATACAAGTATGTTCTCTTCTCGCTTTCTATAGCTTTGTTCCATTATTGCAAACATATGCTTATAAGTAAATATATCCCTTTCTATCATCAAACCAGTGGTCCCAAAGTGGGGTGCTGGGACTGTGATGGAAGTGCCCCATGGCAATGGTGGCACTTGCACTTTGCCTGTCCTCCCTCTGCAGCCAATTTTGGGAGGGTGGCAGGAATGAGCTGCCAGAGACTATTGGGTGGATGTCCTGTGTGACAAGCCCCCGAGTCATCTTTGGGTTGCTGCCCAGCCATGTGGGACAGGTTTGGGGCAGGGAGTATCTGCTAAACACCACCAATTATAATCCAAAGAGGCATATCCCAAGCACCAAAAATTTTGGAAATGGGACCTTAAATATCTGTCGTGACAAGGTGACAGAGTGATGAGACATGCACTAACCACAGTCCTTTGGGCCTTGGGTGGCTGTTACTCGGATGTGAATGGACACATTGGGTGGTGTCTGGCGGGTTCTGGGGCATCCAGGGCCTTAGAAGGATGGGAAAGAACTGAGCTGGCCCCAGGGTCCGTGGCACCACATGCACTCTGTGGCTGGAGTCAGAAAGTCCCTTGGGTGCTGGGCTCGGCTGAGGGACAGGTTCTGGATGTGGGAGTGGGACACGCTGCGCAGGCAGCACTGCCTGGCTGCTGGAGCAGGGCTGTGCCACCGGGGACCCATTTCTCAGCCCCACATGGCTGCCTGGGGCAAGTTGCCTTTCACCACCCAGCTGTGAGGTTCTGCGGACTTGTTTGTAAAGGGCTCCTCAGTCCCTTGCTGGAAGCACTGTGCAAGGCTGAGAGGACATGGCTATCTGGAACCATGCCCCATCCCTCTTACAAGTTCTCCCACAGCATCCAAGTGCCCTGACGATCCTGGCTGCACACTGCAGGGACAGAGCCCCAAGTTATTTTCTCTTAACGAGACCACTTTATCTCTTGCATGGAAGGAATGTTTTGGAGCTTTTTTCCTCTTTAATGAAGAAGCGTTACACGATTCATATAACACGGCTTAATACCACTGGTGGCCATCAGAAAGGAAGCACTGGGAACAGAAATAAAGCAACCGTTAATTAAGTAAAATAGCAATATCACAAAACCCTCTTCTTCAAGAGTAGACCATGCATTGCTGAATGGTAAGGAGAGTCATCTGCAAAAGCTGCACATAGTAAGGAACGATGTTCTTGTGCATTTCATATTTCCACCTCTGTGGTTTGATATTTCAAGACAAACCCAGTGCTATAACATCTGAAAATGTGAGCCTTTATGAGCTGCTAATAGTCTCATCTGGCACACCTTAGAATCAGTCAGCATTCTGCTCTGGTCCTAATATCTCATGAACACACATATAATCCATGAGGCTGAGGCTGGCTTGGAGCCTGTGGTAGGTACTGGTCTGCTGACAGGGCCAGGAGAGAGTATCCTTTGAGACATCAAATGCTTTGGTGCCCAGCAAGAGCAGGTCTGTAAGCAGTACTATGGGCCCTGGCCACAAACCCGGTCTTTTCACAGATGCTGTAATTTGCTGGGCAAACACCCCAACTATATGCACACGGACTGTTAAAGTATGGGCTGCATTAATGATGGAAAAACTGACCAAGCTGAGAAAAAATTCCTGCAGCAATGACTGTAACATATGGCTCCTCTGTACTGTCTGCCCGGTGTAACTACCATGCTTCCAGGAACCACATCATGCTGGTCGGAATCACACTTGCTAGCCTCTGGCTGGACTTTTTACATTGCTAAAGCTTATTCTTAGTCTGTGAAGGACTGGGGCAGGGCGGATGGCAGGAGCAGGGATGCAGGGCTTATGACTCACTTGCTGGTTGTCATAAAGTGTCTGGGTCATCCTGCCTCCCATCACTGCTCTAACACAGAGAATCCAACATCTCTGGGTCAATATCTGTCTCCAGATCCAGTCCTGCCTGCTTAGGATGCAGGAGAAGATTCTGCAGAGCCCCTGGTTATGGCTGGGTGCATGGTGCTCCCAGGAGCAAGTGAGTCAAGTGCTTCGCAGGGACTCGGCCCTCTCCCCATCTCCTACAAGCACACAACACGATGTGGTTTTGCCTACAGGGTGTTTCAGACCTCGGAAGTGCATGTGGCCTCTGTATTTATACAAACATATAAACAAATGCAGCATCCAAACTGTGTCCTGAAATGCTATTTCCACTCTCCAGCAGTTACAGAGGAAGGGGGCTCACACTTTTCTTCACATTTTTCTGGGAATCCCTTGCAAAGGGATCACAGCAGCTTTCCACCTGGAGCTGCTGTTGTGCTGTGAGTCTGTGGGTGCAGGAGGTGCTCTTTGCACACTCCTCTTCTGCCCTCATGCAACATGGAAGTCTATGCAGAAGTGCATTTTGGAGCACAGAATAAATTGAGTCTTGAACAGAAAGCACTGCTCATCTTAACTGCGGAGCCACTTCTGCCCTGCATAGGCTAGCCCCTGTGCTGAGCTCATCATATTCCCCAAACGTGTCCTTTTGTTCATACCTAACCCTGACCTTTGCTGTAGCATCAGGGTACGTGCACAAAAGTAGCGCAGACACAGGTCTCTCCACCTCCAGCCAGCTGCACAGTCCCATTCTCTGAGTTCATTCTCTTATTCAGATTAATCCTAGGGTCCATCCTCTGTATGTTGTAGCAACAAAGACTGATGGCCTGCCAAAGGCTCCGTACTGCCCAGAAGTCTAATGACCAAGCCCAGAAGCTGTCCCATGTAACCTCAGCCACCTTTCAGTGGCTTGGGTAGCCTCCCTCTATAGTCACTAAGGCCAAATTAGCAAACGTGTCCATGCTGTTGAGGTCTGCCACATCTTTCTGTTAGATTGTGAAGGTTTGGATGTGCCAGATCAGCTCTTTCTGCAATGCAGTGACACTGATTGGAGCCCATTCACAGCAACTGGCCACCAGAGCCAGAGAAGGATTAGTCTACCTTCCCTGAGATAGGTGTGACTCCATGGCTGGCAGTGGGACCACTTCTGCAAATGCAGGATCGCATCCTAGCTCACCGTATGGCCCTGCCCATGGATTGATCACCATTCAGCCCAGTTTACTTACAGTGATTATCAGCATGACCTGGAAACAATTCCATAGTCCTCTTGTGGGGATCCTCCTCCTCAGGGCTCATGTCTTCTGCCTCCCATTGGTCGGACATCTTGAAGAAGCTGCTGCAGCTCCCATAGGCACAGCACTGGTAGGCGTAAGGTACCTCGAGGACTCTGCAAAAGGGAAAAGCAGAACTTTTAGGTGCATCACCTCCATGATCTGACATGCCACTGCTTTGTACTTTTGGCTTAATTTCCACATGTGACAAAAGCCAGTCTATCAGGTGATGTTTACATTGGAGCAGGACTTTGCTCTAGTGAAGGACTCCATATAGGACAGTGTGGACCCAAGTCACCCCAGAGTGTCTCTGCACTGCCCCACTTTTTTTGGCACTTAAGACACTATCTGTCAATAGGATGTTGTCAAACACCAGGTTTGGAAACTGCACTAAAGTTCCTGGATAATTCCTAAAAACCTTTCTGCAGTTCTGAATTAGCCTCCCTTTCCCAAGCCATCTGGCAATATGCCATGTGCATGTGGAGTCTTCATTTTTTCCCCCAAGGCCATTTTTTGCTGGGCATCCTTCCTTTTGTTCAAGGTGAGAAGCTTTCTGAGAGCTTGAGCAAGTGCAAGGTCCCCCTTGCTTATTGCTGAAGGTCAGAGAGGCACCTCCAAACTCCAGTTCCATGAGTGTGGTTCACCCCTGCCAGCTCAGGCAGGGAGATCCCAGGTCTCTCAAGTGTAGCAAGTTATTTTCTCTGATTTCTACTTGAAAGTAGAATTGTTAGTTGGTAATTATAGCATGTATTACAAGGTTAATTAAACAGCAGCTGAATGTCATCTGGAAGAAATACCAGGCTATCAGTCAGCAGATGCATTTTCTTCAAAGACAGCAAACTTCTGCCTCTTTGCTGGAAGTCAGGAAAACTGCTGATGAAGGCAAAGGAACCTCAGGTTTTCCAGACAATTAAGGTCTTCTGACAAGATCAGTAAATATGGTGAAACTCTATATTGTAAAAATATGCTTTTGTTTTAAGTTCCCAAACATTTCTGGCTGAGCCCTGGGAGGCTACAGAAACTCTGTATACAAGCTTGCTTCCTGTTATAAGCTCCAAATTAAATCCTATTATTGAAAGGTGGCAGGGAGCTACAGATCCTCCCAGGATGGCTAAGAACTGTTCTCAGATGATTCCTACAGACATATGTCCCAAGAATAAGACTACTTAATGGCAGTACCCCCAAATTTAGGAAATGGTAATGGGTCGATCGCCTGGCGTCGTTCAATGAACCACTCCTGCAGACTCAGTCCCTCTGGTACAAATCCAAACCAGCTCCACAGATGTCAGTGAAATTAATTTAGAGGAGGAACGCCCCTGGAAGTGCTGAGCTTGACCCGCTCTGCACAAGGGACTGCCATCTTGGGTGTGGAAAGCACTCCAGAAGCTTCTGGGATCCCCTGCCATTTGGAAACCAGTCATGCAGCAGATCCCAGCTATGATGAGTCAAAAAAGTCAGAAGAGAAAGCCCTGCAGGCACCACTGCTGAGGCAGACTGAAGGGAAACCTCCACACTTTTCATTGGACCTGAGCTATTAAGCCCAATGTTGGTGCAGTGGCCTGTGACCTGAGCAGTGGGTGTTTAAATTTGAGAGGCTCCAGCCTTGGGAACCTATACTGGATGAGTGGGAGCATCAGCTCATGCATCCTTAGCTCCAAGGGATGGGAGACTACCTGGGAGACCCAAGCAAAAGATGGCTTCACCTTAGGGGAATTTGAGTCATCTGGACCATGGGCCCCTCAGCCTGAGGGCAGGTGCCACACTGGAGACCCACCAGTAAGGGAGGGTCAGGAGAGCCAGAGCCTGCAGTGTGGCACTGCGCTCGGAGCCTTTTGCAGCCTTGTCTTGCTCAGTTTGACCCCTTCAGGCTCCTCATTAATCCATAGCAGACAAGACATGGCCACACAAACAGAGTTTACTGAAGGAAAGCTGGATGTCATTAGCTAGGACTGGCTTCTGGGAATGTTTTCCACTGAAAGGAGCCCTGAGCTGAGCCTGCTCCATGCTTTCCACTTGTGTGTGTGTTTGGGGTGGGGGTGGCGGGCCTGGGAGTGCATCACCGCTCTCCCGTGGAATACTTTAAAAGATGAGGCACGTTAGCAGCAGATGAAGCTTCCTCAACCTATTGGCCTGGAAGGATGGAGGAAAGCATGAGATAAACAAGGAAAGCAGGAGGCTGATTGCTATAAGCAAACACAGGCTGTACTGAGTGCCAGAAGTGAAAGAGCCAACACCACCAGTACCTCATTTTGGGGAAGCTCTCCTTGGTGAAGGGCTCGGAGAGAGCTGGGTTGCCTTGGAGCTTCAGATGGGTCAGTCCACCCAAACCGTCCAGAGGCAGCGTGACCAGCCGGTTATCAGTCAAGTCCCTGATGAAGGGAAAGCAGAGAGGGACACCACGGTCAGGGTTTTGCTGCTAGTGATATCTCAGCCAAGCAGAGGCTTGGAGAGCCATGCTGCTTGCCTTGATTGCTCCCTCAAATGTGATGCTGAAATGAGGCTGGGTGCTGCATGGGGACCAGGATCCTCTGGAGATAAACAGGTTGATACTGCAGTCCCTGGGGGAAATGAGGGGCAGGTGCCCACACTTAAAGCTCTGGGTGCTTATCTACCTCTCTGTGCACATATCTGCCCCACGCATCTCTTTGCCCTCCACTTCCCCCATAATAGGGCAGGTATGATTGCAGCTCCCAGCTCATAAAATACGCAAGAGTATTAATGAGGGGGCTGAGGACCGGGGACCCCTCTGGAGCCAGCAAAGATGGTCTGCGATGACTCTTGCTGAAATGGTCTATCATGCTGATCTTTCATAAAGGTATTGAAGGCAGGTATGAAAGCATCAGAAAGTGGAGGTACTGGCTTAAGTATTCAGAGTGAAAGCATCTTGAAGATGGCCCCTTCTGCACTCTCATCATCCCTCTAATATTGGTAGGAAGCCCTGGGATTTGGTGTGCTCATGTCAGCACTGAGACACGCACCTCAGCACTGCACCCTTCTGATATCTAAATGCCAGGTGTCCCCATAGCTTGGGGAGTCAGTCTGAGGTCCTCAGATACCTGCTGTCCGTGGCCCACTGTGAAAGAAGTATCATTGCAACTTACAGCTTGGTGAGTGAGTGCAGGGTCACAAAGGCTTCAGGGTGAATAAACTGGATGTAATTCCAGCTCAGGTCTCTGCAAGGCAAGGACATGCCAGTAAGAGGGGTGCAGAGCAGGACAGCGAAGCTGCTGACCCTGGCCTGGTCAAGGGGTTTGATGGGAGCAAATGTGGGATCTGTAGCCCATTGGTCAGCAGCAAGTTCTGTCTCATTGCATCTCCCTGGAGACAAATACATTTGGGTGTATATATGGGTGGTTTCTAACAGAGGGCATAACAGTTTGCCTTACAGGAGCTCCTCTACTGAGACCAATGGGAAAGGTTCCTTTTTGGGTTCATTTCTGTAAATTTGGAGCTTTAATGCTAACACGCTAAACCTCAGAGCATTAGACAGGTTATGCCTTAGTGCCAGAGCATCCCTGATGTGGTCACACTGCTGGGTGCCCAAGCAAGGGCAAATAAGGTCAGGAGCTGTGTGGAAGGTGAACCAAGGTCATCTTAGAGTGTCTCCTGTCATGCACAGTTGGCTTGGTTTTGGGGAGGATTCCCTGAGGCTCCTCAATAAGCTCTGCTTCCATCTGAGCTAGAGGGCTCATCTCCCTCTGTCACCAGCAGAGAGGAACCTGCATATCAAGGAGCATTTCTTCTCCTCAGGCTGACTACACGGGCAACTTCCTACATATATCTACATCTCTCCAGCTCTGAAGGGAGCCAGGGCTGCCTGCCCAGATATGTGTGTCTCACTGCAGAAAGCTAAAGTTGGGTGAGTTGAATCCTTCCCACAGGGACCCTGAACATACCCACAGGCAAATGCTAGAGCTTACACGCTCAGCTATACATTTGTGTGACTATAGTGTGGCAGCAACATGCTTGTATTTGCATGCTTGTCTGTAGTGTTACATGTAATATGTGAGTGTTCCTGAGCAGTTATAAACATGGTGTACATGACACTCATGGGATCTCTAGGAATGCTGGCCTATTAAATGACACTCAAATTGCTGAGCTATGGGAAAAAACTTTTATGCGATTCAGTTCACTCCTAACAGAACAGTAAATAAAGACCATCAGCACTTGGAGGGCTCTTCCCACACGTCATAGGGAGAATCATGCCCTGCAGAGCCTTACTAGCTTCTCAAAGATGCCGAGCACTTAAGTGGGCTTGCCTACTGCAAAGTCACTATGCGTGTACGCTATGTGCGTGCTTGTGTGCCCTTAATATGTCTAACATATGCTTTTGAGTTGTGGGGAGACAGTCCCAAATCAAATGGGCTGTTCTGCATGGATGCTCCAAGAGTGCATGGCCCAGGACTAGCATGTGTAAGGAAAGGAGTGCTAGAGCTCATGCACACAGTGGCAAATGCCTGCCACGACTCCAAGTCGTTAGGAGGCAGATGTCCATAATGTGTGCTGTGCAACATAGGAGTTGCGGTGTGTGGTTAGAGCATGTGGCATGGAGTGTCCATGTGCCTGGCAGGTAATGAGTTTATTTACAGGATGTGTCTGCATGCAGAAAGGAAGCCAGGGAGAAGGTTTGTGCCCTGTCCTTTTGCAAGGGGAAATTGGAAGAGGGACTGGGCAGCAAAGCCTCCCAGGAGAGGCAGACAGAATGTGGTTGTGAAACGCCACATCAGCCTGGCTGGGTGCTCATGGTTCCCCTTCCCCCAGCAAAAAGCCCAGTCATTCCCCCTGCCAGACGAGACTTACATGGAGCGCAGGGCCATCAGCTGCACAAAGGTGTCTGCTCTGATTTCATGGATCCTGTTGTGCTGGAGACCACTGAAAAAACAGAAACTGGTTTGAGAAACTAGCTGAAGGCAGCGTTCATACTTTGTAGGGATCTTTGTCCCGTGGCAGCAGATGCAAACTGTCACAGTGGAAGTTGTCATTTGATCTTGGGAGACCTACTCTTACTTCAAGGGGTAAACAGGATGAACAATGAAACAGCTCAGAGCCATTTTCTCCTGTGGGCAGCTCCAGGGCTCAGACAGCCACTCCTTTTGTTGCCATCCTGGCACAGTAAAGTGCTAAAGGTGCCCCATTATCTCCAAAGCCACACTGATTTCCCACGCTGCTCCATGATCAGCCTGCAACTGCTTCATCCAGAGCAAAAAAGGAGAGCTTGGATCTGGTAAGTCAGCAAACAGCTCTGTGAGACCCTTCAGGAAGGACTGTATGGTGCTGCCCTTTGCCTTGGCGAGGGCTGAAGGCATCTTAGGACCCCTTTTCATGACAAAGTATCCTGATGTCTTGCTGAACTCACCATCCACATCCTACATGCATATTTTCATAAAATGCCTCAGCCTCTGCACACCTGCCTTCCAGCAGCCTGGTGCACTCCCGGGGGTAGGGGAGGGAGCAGGGTAAGAGCTGACACGGTGTTTGCTGACTGACCTATATGCTCCCCATGCCCCTTAAGAGACACCCAGAGCTGATCCAAGCATCCTCTTTGTGGGAAACATTTACAGTTTTTCATTTTTCTTTTCCCTAGCGTGAAACAATGGTGAATATTTTTAAAAACTCCTGCAAAATGCCCAGTCATGAATTCCCAGACCTGCAGAATTGGTCTCCTCGATGGGTGATCTTCTGTAAGGGCAGACAGCCACTGCCTAGTGCTCTACCTACAACAACTGCTCAGGGCGTTCATTGAGTAGCTAACCTGACTTTAGACTCACAAATGATCTTGACTCATCTCACACAAGGACCTGCACATGAGGGCTGTAATGTCTCAGCTGGTATTTGGCCACATGCTCATGTTTCAGAGGCAGGGGCTTGAGGCTCTCATATCTGCTATACTGCTGGTTTCTCAATAGCCAAGAAGGCATTGCTCCTACTTCTGGCTTGGATTTCAAGTGAGGGCCAGGGGAAGCTCTGTGCACAGATTTGGGGGTCTCCCTGAATAGGAGAGGTGGAGCTTGGGAAGAAGGGGTGTTGGAGCAAGCTAGTGAAAAATAATTCAAGGATGTTTAGCTGCGAGGGACCACCTGTGCGTTGCAGGTAAAAACCTGCACACTGGCAGTTACAGCAGAGCGACTGGCACACCTAAGTTGTTTGCATGCCAGGCTGTACCACCATGCACCACCAGACTTGTTTCCAACG